CATGATGCCTGTCGTTGATGATGTTGCTGATGATGATAATACTAGCTTATGATTATGACACCAATGATGATACTGAAGATGTTGCAGCATGATGCCGGTCGTTGATGATGTTGCTGATGATGATGATGATAATACTAGCTTATGATTATGACTGATGTTGTTGATAATGCTATTGTTGCTGATGAGAGTTGCAGCCGATGCAGCAGCAGCTAGTGTTTCTAATAATATACTAATAAACTATAGGTATGTTGCTACTGCTTCTATGGATAATATTGCTGATAAGTATTATGTTGTAATGGAAATGAGTTTGTTGACAAAATTGTTAAAATTACAATGAATTGCTTTTGTTAATAGCGATGTTGATGACGACGATCAATGATCCTATACTATTAGTCGACTAGCAATAGCTAGAACAGATATTGCGTTGTTAAACACTTTAGTTTGTCTGTTCGTTAAACGAACAGTGACATCTTCCTGTATGCAATTGTAGGATTGCATTTTAGGACACGAAAATGACTAAGTTTTAGTCTCGTTCCTGAATAAATTAAACCACAACAATACACTACGACACTTGTATTGTTGAGGTTCAAAAATACCTATTGAGGTTCACCAAACGAATACATATGTTAACAGGGGTGAAAATGAATCATTTGTGTGGGTTTACATGGATGGTGGTTGAGTTTTCTTTACGTTTAAGGGCATTGCATGATTAGATCATAGGACAAATGACTTGATATCTGCGTGGAGTGTGGATTGATGTGAATGGTTGTAGAGCATAGTTGAGTGGAGTTTATGCAATAGGCTGAGACATCATTTACTCCTCATGATTAGATGTCAAGTCCTAAAGCAAGTTTTTTTTTACTTGCAATATTTAAGTACTACAAATAAGTTAAGAAATTATATAATCATGTGAAATAGGTATTAATTTATCTAAAATGGTAATTCATAGCCACCAATTCCATTCATTATATTTTGTTTTATATATATGTTTTCAAGATTGCTCTCTTGCTTCAGTTCTTCTCTGTTACAACTGGTCGTTTCGCCTCATGCTTCTTGAAGCACTGAAGTAAGAGATCTATTGGCTGGATGCAGTAGAGTTTTCGGGGTGTTTGATAGAGTGCAAACAATATAACCGTGAAACTTTAGTAATACTAAATAGCACAATTTCATGCATTAATTCCATTGTTTTCTATTGTTTAATTAGCACTATTTTGTACTATTTAGTAAATAGTGTTTCACGGATTAATTGTTTGCACTCTAGCAAAGAATAATAATAAATAGGGAATGTAGTGACTCTAGTGGGAAACCATACTCTTGCATCTGCCGGTGTTTAAATACACTATACTTATAATATAATAACTCTATTTTAATGACTTAAAATAAAATCAATCTAGAGTGCTCGCACTAAACCCATGAAACAAATACTAATTTTTTGGTACTAAATAGTGATAATCAAGCAATACAAAACAAAGGATTCTGCATGAATTACTACTAATTAGTACTAAATATTATTCACTGGTTTAGTGCATGCACTCTAGTGATTCATGGTAAAATTATATTTAGTATACAGCTGTATGACTAGTTGCGCACAGCAATTGATTCTCAGAATATATACGTTAATTTTTTTTGCGTCTAGAGTCAATTTCAACGGGTGACAACAAAAGAATACAAATCAAAACACAACCTTTTCATCATGTTTCATAAGTTTGCTGTGTAGACATTCTGGCCGGGAAAGAAATATGAAGGGGAAAACAGAGTCAAGTTGTCATTGCAGTGCATTGTGGTACTGTTTTAGGGACCAAATGTAGACGCCATCTTGGAAATGTTCCCTCAAACAGCCCCACAATGCACTGCAATGCCAATTCAATATGTTTGTTTGAATGATTTGTTCTGCCTTTAAAAACACAGCAGCAAAACAAGTGTGACATGTGAATGTGAACAAGAAAAACGCAAAAAAATGAATAAAAAGTTCAAGAATATCTAAGAATCTTTATAGTATTTGTGTGTAAAATGGTAAGTAGAGACCATGGTATTAATGATAATAACAATAAACGCACAATAAAGGGATTGTTGTGGTTGTTATGTTTATATAGATATTGGGTGACCAGGTACAAAGTATGATTCTCCCATCTCATACCAAGGCTCTTCCGAATCTACATCAAGTTATCTACTACTATCTGTATAAGCAATAGACGCACTCTTACCTCGCAACTGTGACCGAAACAGATGGCTGCAAAGGATAATAAATGAAGCACCACTTGTCTTTATATCGTGCACTTTATCACCTTGTTTAAATGGTATCTTTCGACTTCTCAGCTTCATTACTTGATACAATTGTTTATGGTGTCTTGGTGGCGCTTGACACTTATGTTGCATTCTGGGACACATCGGGATATGGAGATATAACATACTTGGGTAGCCTGTGTCATTTTCAACACAGGAAACCCATAAAATCAAATATCTACAAAGAGATGTTTGTAACGACTGATTAATGAAATTTCTCTCACATTTTTGATACTTTTGCCATTGATATTATTGATCTGAAATGGAGATTTTTAAACAATGATGAGAAATTAGACAGAAAATTTCAGAAAATACATTTGATGGCTGTGCCCACATTACTTAGAGTTCAGCCGGTCAGCGGGTTCTTAATAGCAGCTGTTTTCCTATCGAGGAGTAAAGAAAAAGAGACGCTCTCTTCTAATTTGACCTAAAAACACGACATCAGCTCACTTCTTTTTCTAAAAGAATATCTACCTGAGGTGTATTCATATCTTGGAAGAATAAACCAAGCATGGCTTTGAGGTGAGTACGAAAGATCGGCAGAAAATTATCCGAGAAGACGTCAAAATGGCGCTGGAAAAGAAATGTTTTCTACCGTCGACTTTAATAACAATCGCTTTAAGGACATCACATAAACATTGCTATCTTTTTTTACAGGAAAAAATAAATATTCTCTCTTCCTGGCATCGGTAGCTTGGGTTCTCCACGTCGTTAAAATTAAATAAAAACACGAAAAACAAAAAAGCGCAAACCATGAAAGCAAGTTTATGTAAACGAAAACATACAGCAGTTAAATTGAGATCGAGTGACATTCTTGATTTTTATGCCCAAAAATAATGCTTTAGTGTGTTCCGAAATTATTTTCTGGTAAGATACTCTTTCTCGACATTAAAAGTAAGGAATATGTTGAATTTTTTTTGGAGGAAAATAACCTTATTTTACAATGCTTCTTCATTCAAATTTCAATTTTTTTCCTGATCCGCACGTAATACGTGATGTATTATTAACTGATCAAAGCAAGAGATAAAATTCTGAGACTTGCTGACTATCGTAGCTTGGAGGTATATTGCTTATATTAAGCGTTCACAACAATAATAATTATTTACATGGTGACCTTGAACAAATAATGACGAGGTTGCATTTTTGCTGATCAATTTTTGTGTTGTCGTGAAAAAGTCCCTTCAAGCATTGAAAGATAAAGCTTAGAAAATCCTTTTAACAGCCACTTAGAAACTAAAAGCTTTACTTTTCATGGATATTTCAGTTAAGAATACTGTATACAAAGAAGAATTTCTCTAATATGCTACAAAATTAATGTTGTCTATTGAAAATATAGACGTCTGTGTATCATACTTCAAAGATTATTTAATAAAACAATAAGGTCCCTAAATTTTGTGAATGGTTATTTTTCACTGCAATTTTACTTTTCTACAATAATATTTTTGCTTATATACCCAGTACATACGAAGTGAAAATTTGTGATACCAATAGGAAATTAATTTGTGGATGTGACAATATTATTTTTTCGACAGATGTCAGACAGACGAATTTTAACAATGAGATTTATTTTCACCTGCTTTTTTGATGACAGGGTTCATGTTTGCACTTGGAATGTTAAAACAACACAACCTCCAGAAGTGGACTTGAGAGAACTTCTTCATCTTGATAATGAAGAAGACATCCCAGACATCGTTGCTGTTGGGTAAGTATACATTTATTTATTTATTATTTATTTATGTATTTATTTTATTTATTTATTTTATTTATATTGAAATTAATTCAGAATGTATTAAAAAATTTAGCATAAAACCAGGTACTTTAAAAAAAAGTATATGTACAAACCTATGTTGTTGCATAATTATTTATAATAATAATATATTTTGTAGTACCAAACACAGAAAACTTTTGAATTTCTTTTATATTTAATGATGAGCACACAAATTAAGGAAAATACTGTATTTTCCTTATGAATGCATGCATGCAGAAAAAATTATGAGGATGAGGATGTTTGATTCTCTTAATATGAAACATGGGTTTTAAACCGTTAATCAGAGCGGAAATTGGAATTATTTTATAATTGTAAATAAAGAATACTGAACCCAAAACACATCAGACTTTGTCATCCCATTATGTTAGATGTTATTCATTTTTCAATTTTTAACGCAAAAGAAGTAAGTGCAATATTAATAGTACTATCTTCAAATGTCTGTCAGACTACAGGAAGTAGATGCCAAGCCACAGTCACTTCTTATTGAGTACATCAAAGAGAACTCTTGGGTAAAGATCCTACAAGCATATTTGGGTGCATATGGTCTTGTCAAGGTAAATATTTATTTATTTATTTATTTAATATATATTTATTTATCAACAATATTTATACAGAGGTGCCAAGTTCAGCAAAGCTGCTTTGAATGAGGCTCTGTTTGAATTAAACTTACAGACAAAAAATATAGTGCAGAATACAAAAATTAAAGATATAGAAAGTACTAAGATTAAAACACTTAACATGTAGTATTGCACAGCGTACAGGGTTAATCAGGGCGAGATATAAAATGCTTTTTAAGGCCAGACTTGAATCTTGTTAAGTCGTGTACCCTCCTCAGGTCCAGCGGAAGGCTGTTTGAGATCTTTGTACCGCTGAACCTGAAGGAGCCCTGATATTTAGCATATATTAAGCATGTATTTAGATTACAATGCCAATGGCTAATTGATCCACCACTGTCATTAAGATGCATTAGTGACATACTGTAATCATATTAAAGCTAGGATTTAAAGTGTTGGTTTTTTTAAAGAATTAAGACTATGAATACAATAATGTTATTAATTAATGAAATGTGTATTATAAGCTGAGAAATAGATCTTATGTGACAATGTTTTCCCAATTCAGCGTGACAAACCTCCAGATGATTCCTTTTGCTTTGTTTTAACTCTTCAAAAAATTCATTAGTCTCCCAAAGGAATAACAATGGTATCCCAACGAGTTTCAAAACAATAGCTGTTTATTCCACCAGGGGTTTGTCAATCACACTAATCATAAGGATTAAGTCATTCACAATTATTCTTGTTAATTCAAGATTTCAAAATGGTGCAAAAGAGGCAACAAGGAAGTGATTCCTCCATGAATAGTTTTCAGTGTGATTTTTACGAAATATGTTACATTTTTTAGCTTCGTTCCATACGAATGCTTGGCATGGTCCATCTTATTTCTGTTCACTCAAGACATTTACCTTATGTCCGTGAAATACGACCAGGATACTGCAAGACTGCATTTTTAGGACTCCTGGTGAGTATATAGATCAGAATAAAATGATACTCATTTGTAAATTAAATCCCCTTCTACCCTTCCCCTCCCCTGCAGGGCATAAAATGACAGCAAGCCAGAACTGGAACTCGGTCAGTTAAATATTTGCCTCGCGGTCGTTTTGACTAGTAACATTTAGCCAGAAGTGAGTTATGACTAAGCTAAAACTAATATGGCCTTTGGTCATGACCGGCGACTGATCGGCCGTTATTTTTAAAAGCCCTGCCCTACCCTTTGTCACCCTCTGTGAACCAAAAGTGGCTTACCCATGGGCTGCTCTCTACCACCATCACCTGTTTGGGGAAGTAAGGTGGAGTAGTGTGCATCTTTGCCACCATGATGTTTGGTCCTTTCCCTTGCCTCGACGATTTTTCTCTGGGTACAGTATACTCTGGTTTTTGCCTTTTAGATATTATTAACTATCATCATCTGTTATTGGTCTTTAGGGAACAAAAGGAGCTATTGCAATGAGATTTTCTATATATGGTGAAACATTCTGCTTCATTAACAGCCATTTTGCTGCTCATGCTGAATACACAGAACACAGAAACATGGTAGATAATAAGTTTATTAAATGTTTCCTACATTAGAAAAAAAGATTAAAGGATTGTTCGATGATTGCCATGCTTAAGCACTCAGCTCTCATGGCACTTACATTGTAGTTAGCAACAGCAAGCAAGCATCAAAACTTGATGTAAGCATGCTGATGTTCAGAGCTTGACCGGCTGATTTTTGACTGGCGGCAGTGAAAAACTAAATTTCAGCATTCAACTCACAGCTAAAGAAGGGGCCGCGGAACTGGTATAAATGCATAGATTTGATTTTTAATACTGTTATTAAGTTATTGTTGTGATTTTTTGCAGTGCCCCCCCCCC